TAATATCAAGCAGATAGAACTCAAGCGTAAGCATGAAATAACTTTTCATTTCTATGTACCGCAGGCAGGCAGTAGTATATAATAATTTTAGTGTATCTACAACCAGCTACACAAGAATTTTTCAGTGGTGACATAAGTTTCAGACTGGAGATGCTACTTCTACTTCTAGGGGTAAAGAGATAAGACTGCACAAGAGACACCAGGAGACTTCTGAGTAGTAAAAGATTCTAAATGTTGGTTGTCGTAGTGATTACATGACTGAGTACATCAATAAAACTTAAGCAACATAAAAATGAGTTAATGTTATCGTAAGTAAATTCTACTTCAGCAAACCTGATGAAAGAAAAGATGTAACTTTAACAATTCTACTTTGAACTCTGTTATTATAATACATCAGTACATACCTGGATGATGTATAGAATTTAAACATTCATCCTGTAGGCCATTCTCACTTTTAGCTCTATCAATAACTTCCTGGCATGAAGATTTTCCATCACTTGATTCTTCGTTTTCACTTACAGCATGGTTTTTTTTTTTCACACTACATTTCACACTGTATGTGTTTCTCCGATAACAAGGCTCACTTTCTTCCTGTCCAGCACTGGACTCAGTTACAGTTAAGCAATGCTTTCTGTTTAGCATCTTCTTAATCACAGGCTTGGCAGAAGAGTTCTGTGAACAACTGTCCATTTCACTGGCAGAAGAAACACAACTGTCCTCTGCAGCTGAACTTCTTTGCACAACTGCATTTTCATGGTAATGGGGGTTAGGTTCATATTTTGGTTTTTCCAAACCAGGGAAACAAACAACAGCCAAAAACCAGTGTGCACTGTAAAAACAAACAACACTACTAAACATATCATTGGAAAAGCTCATCACAGTTGTCCATAACTATCAATTGAAAATGCTGATTTTACAAATTTGTGAACAGGCACTGATCTTTTTAAAATTCCTATACTGTTTATAACCATTCTCACTTATTTTATTAGTGGTTAAAATACCATAATGACCACTAATTTTTTTGCTGCTGATTTTAGGATTATGAACCCTACATTCATTCTTGCAAACAATCTACTGAATCTTTGTGGAAAGAAAGATCCATTCAGATTTTTTTAAAATCATGTCTCTTTCTATTGTTTGGAAAGGCTTATTATAAAAAGTATATATCTAAATAATCCTTAGGCTTGTGCTACGTTGAAATGTAAATACATTATAAAAGCTCAATTTAGCAAGGAGTTTTAGCTATCAAGCACAAATTCATGATATCACTGTATTCAGTTATCACAGCTATCAACTGTATAGTCCACCAGAAAAAAGACATATAGTATAGCCTAAAAGTCATTAACAACTTTTATTTGCTAGCCAATGGACAAGCTGTAGATGAAAGAGTACTTATTAGCTGAGTACAATACCTGTCATGTAGTGGATGTCCAATAAATACCTTCTCAGAAGAAAACACTTTTACATCCACGGCTAGGGATCAAACCCAGGGCAAGTTAGGCAAGTACCCTACTACTGAGCTACATCTCTAACCTGAATACCACAGCGTCATTGGGTATCTCTTTTTCTTTTTCCATATGTATTAGATGACTCCAAGGTATTAGGAACAGCGCTCTCTCTTCACCTGACAACATTCAGTACAAAGGTAAAGACTGGTTTTGTTGTTAGTGCTAAAAGGGAAAATTGAGTCTGGTGTGGTTGTGCATGCCTGTAATCCCAGCACGAAGGAGGCAGAGGTAGAAGCAGGGTGTCTCTTATGAGTTTGAGGCCAGTCAGGTCTAAGAAGCAAGTCCTAGGCAAGCTACATAGTGAGACCTTATCTTAGATAGACAGATAGACACACACAACCACACACATACAACTCCTCTCTCCCCACCAAAAGACAAGATGGACAAATAATTCCTTTTTTTTTTTTTTTTTTTTTTTTTTAAATTTGTCGAGACAGGGTTTCTCTGTAGCTTTGGAGCCTATCCTGGAACTAGCTCTCGTAGACCAGGCTGGCCTCAAACTCAGAAAACCACCTGCCTCTCCCTCCCGAATTAAAGGCGTGTGCCGCCACTGCCTGGCTTTTCTTTCGTATTCTTAAAAATTAATTCTGTGTATACGATGGATTTAGGTCAGGTTAAAGCAGCAGAAATAGTATCTCATCATCCTCATTTCAATAATTAAAACATCCTAAGTTCCACCTCAGTTTTGGAAATGTTAAAATGTAGAAGAAAAGTGTGTTTCAAAAGCCAGTGCAACGCATGGTGGCCAAAGACTGCACTCTACCACTTGAGGAAGAAGAACCAAAGGTTCAAGGCCATCTCTAGCTACTCATCAAGTCTGAGGACAGCCCTAGACTATAGGAGATCTTGAAAATCAGTATTTAGGGTGTAATGTGTTAATTTCCAACCTACATTATTGTAACTGGCTTTACCTAAATCTGAAATCATAATAATATATGAGGCCACACATTTTTTGCTACATCACTAAAAACTAGGCAAAATGCTTCTCCTGACTTAAAGGGTTTTAAGTTTGTAGCTTTAAAAAAATAAAACAATAGCAACAACAACAACAAAAACAAACAAACAAAAAAAACAGGCTCTATCTATGTAGACCGGTTCTGGCCTACAACTCAGACACTCGCCTCTAGCCAAGTAACTATATAAACCATTGGTATGAGAAGAGGCTAAAATATAAAATAGGTAATTTTACTATGGCTGGATTAAATCCAAATTCTAGGTTTATGCTCTTTACCAAATACTGTAACAGTTTCTAACAAACAACTTAAAATAAGAAAGAAAAGAAAAAGAAAAAAACAGAAACAAAAAAACCCCAGCATCATGAAGTTACAGAAATGGCTCATTGACTAGAGCACTTACTACTCTGACAAAGGCCCCAGAATTTAGTTCCCAGCACCCACATGGCTGGCACCTTCCAAACATTTTTAACTCCAGTTAGGTGAACATACATGCAAGCAAGCACTTATACATGTTAAATAAAAACAAATCTTTAAAAACTAAACATCAGGCTGGGCATGGTGATGCATGTTTTTAATCCCAGCACTTAGAGGTGGAGGTAAGTAAATCTTTTTCAGTCCAAGGAGCCTGGCCTAAAGAACTAAGTGAGCCAGGGCTATATATATATATATATATAGTGAGACCCTATCTCAAAAAACAAAAAATTAACATCACTACGAAAATGAAGAAGATGACAAACCAATGGTGGCCTATCTAGTAACTGGCACACATAAAATATCTGTGGCTTTCATCTCTTAAAGAAATGAAAGTAAGATCTAGACATCTGCAGACTGTTCCCGTGGGTGTAGCCCTCTTGCAGAATCCTGTACTGGCCTGCGCCTCTGCTGGTTCTCTGCCACATATAAGATGACTGGAAGATCAACAGAAACCTCTATTGACAGCTACAGTGATTATAGTGGCTCTAAGCTAAATATGACTCTAATAGCACTTCAGTTGAACACTTTTGGTATTTCTTTCCTTCCTTATTTCTTTCTTTTCTTTTTTTTTGGGGGGGGGGGGGTGTTCGAGACAAGGTACTCTGCAGCTTTGGATCCTGTCCTGGAACTAGCTCTTGTAGACCAGGCTGGCCTTGAACTCCCAGCCGCCTGCCTCTGTCTCCCTTTTTTGCTGGAATTAAAGGCATGCGTCACCACCACACAGCTCACTTTTGTCATTTCTTACAAACAACTTTCCTCTTTTCTAAGAAGCTTGTGCTACTTTTTAAGGTTAAAAAACCTTTATTTCATGCAGAATAAATTTAAACTTGATTTTGAATTTTATTATGCTATGCATAATCATGCAGTCTTATATAAATTGTGCTTTACAGCTATAACTGATGCTTTGACTTAAAAAGGGCTGAGGTCTCCTAATAAAAACATTACACATGCAGGCATGAACAGTAGTGCTTGGAATAGAACTGCGGATCTTCCACAAACTAGCCAAGGAGCTTGCTACTAAGCTATACTTCTAGGCCTCAAAACATAGTATTTATCATCTGTTTTAAGAGGGAAGGATCTTAATACGTTATCTAAATTAAATTCAAATTCTTGTGTTGATGTGATCTTCGTGCCTAACCCTCCCAAGATGCCGTAAGATGTCAACATTTTAAAGAAAGGGTTTGCTTATTACAAAGTGAATTAATACACATTTGAAATTTACAATCTAATGTAACACAGCAAGGCTTATTACATATAAACAATCCTACACCATACTAATTTCAGTCACCATTTCTCCAATTATAAAGAGATAAAAGCGGCAAGCAAAGTAAGGCATGTCTTGATTTGTCTAAGCAGAGTACAAGAGTAAGTCATAGTCCATGCCATAAAACTAACACCTCTTTTGCCGAATAAGAATGGTACTTCTGCCGGGCTGTGGTGGCGCACGCCTTTAATCCCAGCATTCGGGAGGCAGAGGCAGGCGGATCTCTGGGAGTTCGAGGCCTGCCTGGTTTACAAGAGCTAGTTCCAGGACAGGCTCCAAAGCTACGGAGAAACCCTGTCTCGAAAAAAAAAAAAAAAAAAAAAAAAAAACACAAGAATGGTACTTCTTCGTTCACGCACACCACTTCTACCTCACTCTCCCCAGATCACATGGCCAAATACTTTCAAATGGGTTCTTGAAAGTAAAAGCAAACAAAGAAAGAAACACAAACTCTCAAATCTTAATCACATGAGAAAGCTGTACGATAGATATATCAATACTGCCATAGCCACAGGAGAACAGTAATGACATACCTGAGCATCTTTACCAAAGTACTTCCAAGACTGCTTATAATAGAATGGCTTTAGTTTGAGGAAATGGCATAAATTCATCCACTTTTCCTTTACTGTTAAATACGAGTGAATCTCAAATGAAAGATTCAGATTTTTCTATGTAACCCAATCACTTCTTCAAACAAGGCAATCTCGACACAAGCATCATTTTTAAAAATGACGTTCTTATACTTTATCCAATAAAATAGAATTAGAAGATGTCCAATATATTCTACAAAATTCTGTTGGGTATTTTTCCTCCAAGACAGGGTTTCACTCTGTAGCCCTGGCTGTCCAAGAACTTGCTCTGTAGAACAGACTGGCCTCAAACGCAGAGACCCACCTGCCTCTGCCTCCCAAGTGCTGGAATTAAAGGTGGACAGCTAAAAAAAAATTCTGTATCTTATGAGCCAACTGAGAACTGTGCTTACTTTCATAAAATAAGTATTTTTAATACATATAGAATTTTACTTACGCTTCATTAAGGGGTACAAAAATAAAATCCTTCTCAAAAATATCTACATGCCGGGTCCATGTTTTTACTCTCCCATGACGTTTTTGTTGTATTCTGTAAGAAAGAGACAATCACCTTCTAAAGTGTCATTGCAGCTACAGCTTCTGTGCAGTGTATAAACTACGACACTCAGCTGGAACACCTCAGTTTCACTTGATGTTTTAACAAGTTGAGGAAAGAACACAGTATCTTAAAATTGAAAAGATAGTTATTTTTCTTTTATGTGTATGAATGTTTTTGCCCATATGTAGAGGTATCACATGTGTGCCTGGTGAGCTCAAGTCAGTGGCGGGCATTGGAATCCCTAGAACTGGAGTAAGAGATGGCCATTAGGGGCAACTTGGTGCTAGGAACCAAATCCTACTCCTCTGCAAGGGCAGTAAGTGCCCTTAACTACTGAGCCATCATCCAGTCCCATGAACAGACTATCTTAGATGAAATCAGAAAGGGAAGACATGAAACCTCCTGACTGAATCTGCACGGAAGGGTACTGAGTTCATTTTACAATATTCTGGGGGAATTTCAGTGCTTCTCCTGGATGAATTTCTTTTGTCTCTACTATTTTACTGGTGCAGTATTGCTATTAGAAACTATACTGAGAAACTTATAAGAGCATAACTTAATGGTAAATGAAAGGGAGCATGTAAAACATGCACCGTTTATCAACAAACAAAGCAGCACCATAAGCTATGAACAATGTCAAAATCCATCTCAAGTCTATGATATAAAATTAGGAACTTTGTAAACAGTAGAAAATAGAATTTATATCTGGCATAGCAGCCCCAAATGAAGACACTTCAGTGTAGTTACAAGAAGATGTGCCAACTCTTGAATCTTTTGACCAATTAAAGCTAAGCATGAATACCATAACAATATAGAAAAGAAATGTAAAGAACTTAGAAGTGATAGCAGAACAGAATCTCTGTAACTATTTTGAGAAAAATCATTTTAAGAGCTTATTAAAAGTCAGATTAAGGGGTGAGGATGCATCCCAGTGGTAAAGAACATCTATTTGCCTAGCACAAGCAAGGTTCTGGCTCAGTGACTAGCCCACAAGAAGAACAAGAGAAAACAAAACAGATTCCGCTCAGCATCACCGAAGGAACTCTTAGATAACAATCTAAGAAACACAAATAAGTACTATTTGGGATCAACTATTCTAGACACTAGACCCACAACCTCTGAACTCTAGGTATTCTGTAACCATCAGAAAATAATCAAGGTTAACGTTTTAAAAGAATGAAACAGAAATGAATGGTATTGCTCAACAGAAGTAAAAGGATTTTTAAAAGTTATCCTTTAGAACTAGTGCAGTATTACTAAGGCAGCTGAGCATAAATCCATGAGAAAAACAACGTAACTGAGCTGGCATGATTTTCCTAGTGGCATACTCTAGAAACAAGCAAGTGACTACAGAGATCTGTGGGGCTTTTGCTGGGCTTTGTTTTCAAATATTATGGGCCCTTCATTTTGTATCCATGAATTCAACAAATTGAGGGTAGAAAATATGTTTGAGGGAAAGTATACCCATAAGACACATACAGACCCCTTTCCTTGTCATTACACACTGAAGAACACAGCCTAATATTTAATGTGCTACACTACAGTATGAATACGCTAGAAAGTATTTGAAACAATATATTTACGTCAAATGTAAATAATGCACCATTTCATCTACAGGACACAAATGTCTGTAAATTTGAGATCGCATGTGAGATATGGGGCACTAATAACTGTGATACTAAGGAATAACTACTGAATGAATTGTTAAGATTTGACTTACGATAGGTTAGTTGTCTCAGCATTTCTTCTCTCTCTCTGATTAAGGCGTTTATAGAAAAAAGAACTGAATATATGAATTCGGTCAGCATCTTCTTTCCTCAGTTTTTCAAGCACCAAGTATCTATTTTAAACAAAAACAGTTATCATATATAATGGCGTGGGATAATCTTAATTACTCTATAAAATTTAATTGGAAACTTAACTATAAACATGAGTCCTGAATAAAGTCAGGATTACAAACTAAATTTTTAGTATAATATAAAAACAAGATTATCCTATTTCAGCATGAATCACAAACAATAACGAAGATTATCAGGAGTCAGTTGGCAGAGTACTTGTTTAGCATGTATGAAGCCCTAAATTTATTCTCCAAACAGCACACAAGCAAGGTTTTAGGCTCCTTGCTGGGTCATGGCGGTAGTCCTGTAATCCCAGCAAGATCAGAAGCACAAGGTCATCCTTGGCTACACAGTAAGTTTGAGGTCAGCCTGGGATACATAAGACTCTGTTGCAAAGTAATAATATTATTAATACTAAAAAACCCACAATATTAAATACAGACTTAAAGGATTAAAAGTAAAAGGATGAAATGCTTGCCAAGAAAATTAAAAGAAATATCTCTGTCAACAAAGCAGACTCAAGAACAGGAGATCATGAATAAGAAAGAGTATCACATCATGATAAAGGTTAATTCTACAAGATATAAAAGCACATTTTCCTACCAATAGAGCTTCAAACTACAGATGGCTTTAAAGACAAGACAGCTGGAAATTTCAACAATCCTTTCTAATAATTTTATAGAACAATTAGACATAAAACCTGTAAGGATTTCTCATGCTAGCCAAGCATTTTTATCCAAGCCAAGTTGAGCTATAACCCCATCCAAAACATTAAAAATATGTTATTCATGCTTTATGTTTTGTGTGCACGTGAGTGCTGGCACCAATGGAGGCCAGAAGACAGATCCCTTGGAGCTGGAGTTACCTGTCTTTTCTCTCCCAAAGTATTAGGTGAATTCCACTACTAGGTTATTAAATCAATTTTGCATGTTTCAAAACACATTTTGAGTTATGAGATATACTGGAAATAAACTAGAAAACAATAGCCCAGACATAGAAGGATAAGTATTGCTTTGTTTCATGTATGTGGGCCTTTTCATTACACATACCAGAAAATACACACGATAAGTTAGTATTTATGAAAACTGTGCTGAATACCATCTTTACTGCCTCACATACACTGCTACTTCATTCAAGTCTTACAACCCTTTATTCTCATTTTTAGAATGTGGAAACAAAGGTACAATAAAGTACTTGAGTAGAAGATTATATTATATTGAGTAGAGGATATATAATATATAATATAAATTATATTATAGTAATAAAAATTCCAATCAAAACAGTATGACTTTCAAAGAGAAAGATTTAAAAAACACGCAATGGCAGAATATGTTTAAAGGTTCACTATTAAGTTAGCTAACTTACTTCAAATAAAAGTCGATAATAACATCATTTAAAAACTCTCCTTCACTTAGACAGTGCAGGTCCTCATTAGTAACAGAGATGCCTCCCTTAGCTGGAGGTGGTGGATACACTATCAATCTATAATAAAGGAAGAAGAAGGTATTACTAAACACAGAAACAGATATTTTTAAGTACTGCAAACATAAAAGAATTTTCTCACTTTTCTACAGGGCCAATGAAGATAGTGTGGCTCTCTCCGGTTTCTTCCTCATCATCAAAAAACTGCAATTCTTGTTTGCTTCTGAGCTGTATTTTAGATTCAAAGGACACCTGCAGAGAAAAATACCAATTTATGAAGTTAATTGGGATTTTTTTTTTTAAATAAAAAGAGCAAGGCAGAAAAGATGCCTCAATGGAAAATACACAGTACTCAGGAGATGTGGGTAGGCTCACTTGCAGGCTTCAAACAGCCTGGTCTTGAGAGCAGGCAGGGCTATACAGCAAGATCTTGCCCCAAAATATTGTGTGTGTGTGTGTGTGTGTGTGTGTGTGTGTGTGTGTGTGTGTGTATGATGACTCAGGACTGAGAAACGATAAAAAGCCAGTAATAGGACTACTTTCACTTTTAGCTTCCAGACAATATATAATAATGGCTTTCCAATTTCTTATTTCTACTATTTATATCCAATCAGTCTGGTAAGATTTGAAGAACCTCTGAAGTAAAACAAATCCCAAAGTTGTTTTTTCCTGATAGCAGTGGAAACCTACCTTAGTTCAAAGGCTAGACAGTCTGCAGGAAGTGGGGGCACAGGCACTGAGAACATACAGTTTAGTGAGCTTAAGAGTTACTCAAGGAAACCCTGAGTCCACGTCACCTGCTTAGTGGTTTTACCAACTGCAAAAGAGGCATGATTGGCCCTTCTCCCCTTCCCTGCCTCCCACTCCATGTATGAGGTCTAATTCATTTTCAAGACTGTGTCTTAGGGATGGATATACAGTTCATTGGAGATAAGGAATAATTTCCCAAGATAGCAATAAAAAGAAAAGTTTGTCAGGTGTGATGGTAGCCAGGTTGAGAGATTTATTCTCAATAAACTAAGCAAACTTCACAACTCAAAATTAGCAAAACCCAACAGCTATAGAAATGATACAGTTCTACCATGGCCTATGGTTCATGAAGCTTGAGAGTTTAACACTGAGGCATCTCTAGATGAGTGCATGCACTGTCTGACAAAGTCAGACTATATCCTTTACTTCATTCTGTTAAAACAATGTGACTATGCACAGGGACCTAAACCTCAGCTCCAGACACAGGGTTAACACTCTTATTTGGATGAGCAGTATCTGTATACATATGCTCAGAGTGCAGTACAGAGGAAAAAATGGGAGAAAAAGAAAAGAGTGTGGAAAGGAGCTAAAAGATTCCAAAACTTGTACCAAATGTTGTTTTAAAAATAAATTTAATTTTAAAATGGAACTTTTAAAGTTTAACATTAAAATGAGCAATATTAAAACATTTCATTTTAAAATTACTCATTATTATTGAGGGTGTGGCTCAATGGCAAGGTATCTGCCTAGCATATATAGAAGCCCTGGGTTTGATCCCCAGCATCACAAAAAACAAACAGAATTACCCATCATTTAAATTACTGTAAAATTTTTAAATATAATTACAGTTTTCACTTTGTTCTCTTTTTGCACACAATTTCCTTTGATGCTTTCTTCATAGCTTCTTGTACAGGCAACAAGTCTGCTATTGGCTTCTTCAAAAGGAATTTTCGCAAAAAAGTTGCAAACATTATTCTTTATACCAATGTCAGTAATGATACTTTCAAAGACCACATTTGCCTGAGGATCAAGGCCAGTTTGAAAAATTAAAATAATGTACTGTTCTTCTAAACCTGTAAAGAAATAAATATAACTATAAGGCTGAAAGAAAAAAATAAGTAATAAACAATTTTAGAGCATACCAACAAGTGATGGATATGGTGACTCGTGCCTTTAATTCCAGCACTTGTAAAGTGAAGGCAGGAGGATTGCCAAGAGTTTGTGGAAAGCCTGGGCTACACAGTGAATTCTCTCTCTCTCTCTCTCTCTCTGACAAAAGAAAAAAAAGTCAACAAGGGTAGGGGGTAATTCAGTCAGTAAAGTGCTTGTCATCCAAGCATGAGAAAGAACCTTGGTTGATTTCCAGACTCACAGAAAAAGTTGGGCGTGGTGGAACAGGCTTGTGATCCCAGTGTGGGGAGATTGAAGCAGGCAGATCTGTGGTTTGCACACCCACATGATAAGTCTCAGAGCAGTGAAAGACACTGTTTCAAAAGTTTCACAATACCTGAGGTTGACCTCAGGCTTTTACATCTGTGCATGCACATACATGTGCATTTGCACACACAAATAAGATAAATACCAACTAATTATTTCCTAGGTGATTACAAGTTCAGGAATACAATTCAAAACAAGTGTTTAACACATAGGGGACACACAATAAATACTAGAAAAATGAGCAGTGTTATCTAGAAATGTTAACTAAGTTATCAAAACAAAAAAGCCAGATCTAGCACTACCACATGAACAAGGCTATTAATAAATATAAGCAATCTGCTTCCTCTAAAACAGCAGTTCTCAACCAGAAGGTTATGATCCACACAGGGTCACATATCAGATATTTACACTATAATTCGTAACTAGCAAAATTAGTCATGAAGTAGTAATGAAATAATTTTATGGTTGGGGGGTCACAACACAAAACTATATTAAAGGGTGGCAGCATTAGGAAGGTTGAGAACCCACAGTTCTAAAAGGATTAAAACAAATTCATAATAATAAATAAATATCAATTAGCATTTCTACCAAGAATAATGAGGAAAATGCCAACCATGCAGTATTATCTCCAGAAGAGACCTGCAAAGCTGGTAGTCACTAATGTGTTGATTTCTACAGTTATATTAGCATTTACTCACTGCTAAGCTGAAGCTGCAATTAATGCTAAAATGTATTGACTTTTTTTGTAAGTTATTTTTATTGTGTGTATATGTGTTGTTTGCCTTCATGTATGTCATAGAGGACTTATGTTCCAGGTGCCCACAGAGGCCAGAAGAGGACATCACACCTCTTAGAACTGGAGTTACAGATAGTTGTGGGCTGTCATGTCAGTGCTGGGGAAAAATCCATACTCTGCAAAAGCACTAAGTGCTCCTGATCACTGAACCATCTCTCCAGCCCAAAATGTGCCTATCTGTAAAGAACTGCATCTAGTTAAAGGATAAAGACCTCTTCCATGCACTTCAAAACTTTCCTAGTTCCAGCTTTGTAGATGAACTTAACAGCAGTCACATCAGTTAAATACATTTTACTTAATGTTACAGACTTCAGATCTTTTGAGTTTTAACCCAATTTGCTAAATGGTTTAGCTAAATCTCGATTTTTTATCTTTGACCCTTCTACTTTCTGTGAGCTTTTCTGATACCAAATGAAATAAGTGATGACTGACCTAAAAACCACTGCTTCATCTTCTCAGGATGGACTGATAAAACCTTCCACTCCCCAAAACACTCCTATTCTGCAACTCAGCAGACCTTCTATCTTAGTTGTAATTTGTCTACAACACTTACTTGTTAACCTGTTCATTCCTTTACAATCATTCCAAGCTTTATCTTCTTTATTCACTTGCAGCTGCATGCTCAGCTTTTGATAAACTGATGGTATTGCCTGGAGGAACACTACTGGTAATTTCCGGACATTACACCATTCACATTTAGTTAGATCAGAGGTATTTAAAATAATCTCTACAGGATCACTATCTGGTCCTACAGGGAAAGAATGAAAAATGAAAAAAGAGTAAATTTTTAAGCTGGTACATCATAAATGGAGGAACTACAAGCTTAAAATTCATCATTTACCATACTCTATAAACTATGCTTAAGAACTTCAAGCTGGGCATGGTACCTTTAATCCCCAGCACTTGGGAGGCAGAGTCAGGTGGATCTCTGTGAGTGTGAGGCCAACCTGGTCTACAAAGTGAGTTTCAAAGACAGCTAGGGCTACACAGAGAAATCCTGTCTTGAAAAACAAAATAAACAAATAAATAATGACAACAACAAAAACAAATCTCACCAAACCAAAAAAAAAAGCAAAAGCAAAAAAACCCTTCATTTAAAAAACAATTTTTTTCTTCAAATAAAAAGGGGACTCTAAAGTATTAGACTTTGTTACACTGCAGAATGACACTACATAAAGACCTAAGCCCTTAATAAGATGTATTAATTTTTGAGTTCTACAAATATGTATTACTATAAAAAATGGATCAGTGGAGACATAAACTTTAGTGCACGTACAGATAAAAAATAACTTACCATCTAGCTGTATCTTGATTGCCTCTAAAGAAAACTTAAAAGAAAAAAAAAGACAAATTAGTGGTGATGTTAGACTTAAGGGAGATTATGCTCTGCATACTCTTAAAGGCATCAGCAGTCCATATGTGTACAAACGGCAGAGAAGCTGAGCCAGACACCATGTGCATTTTAAATCTAAGATCAAACAGCCTCCCCTCAAAAAGAAAAAAAATCTAAGATACTCTGAACTTTTATTAGAGAAGGTGACAGAATATTACAATGTTCATTAAGTTACTATTTCTACACATCTACATTATTCTTCATACATTACATTTTTACTTTTAAAAGGGCATAAAGAAGGGCAGCAGTCATTACTTCATCCTCAAATCCTTCAACATAAATTTTCTCAAAACAAAAACATTTTCCTACCAACTAAAACATCACCAGCACATCTAAGAAATCAAGACTAACATCTTCAACATAGTTTATCCTTAAATTTCCATAAATGTTCACAATTATTCACTGATCCTTGTTACTCTGTCACTATTATACAGCACATACACTGTGTCTACTTTACATTAGAAACTTGCCTCTCCAGTCTTTATCATATACATGGTTGTTATGTGAACTAAGTTATACAAAAATGCAATCTCCATATCCAGGTCATACATTTCCAGTATAAGTAGCAATGGGTAATGTGCTAAGAACCCACACTATCATACTGCAAGCGTCAGGCTGTCCCACCGTGATGGTAAGCGTATTCACTTGGCCTCAGCATTGTTTCCATAATTGTCCCCTTGCAACTAAATCTGAACAAAGATAGTGTGTGGATTATCTTTTACCCATTGACACTGCATCCTTGAATCGTTTTAATGGTTATAAAATGGCTTAATTTTAGCCAGGTGGTGATGGCACACACCTTTAAGCCCAGCATTCAGGAGGAAGAGGCAGGCCAGCCTGGTCTACAGAGTGAGTTCCAAGACTTGGCTCTCCTACAGTAAATTTAACACCAATTTACATTGTATCTGCATAACCACTAGTCTTTACTGGGTTACTAAGTATTTATATAATCTTAAAGCAATCCAAAATCTCTAAGTAGTTTTGATATTTGATTAACTTCAATAATTTAACAAACTTTAAATATTATTGATTAACCTTGTCAGTGGCATCTGAGTCTTGGTACTAGTAGAGCCACAGTTTGCAAAAGTACTTACAATTACAGGCTCTACCAATAGTCGGAAGTGCGTTCCAACTCGTATACTTCGGCAGTTTAAAATGACACTTCCAAAGTTTGGGGTAGGTGACAGTGACACAGAGTGAATTAAAGTTCCATAAGTGTTTATTTTGCGACGTTTTAGAGGTGTGCTGATGGGATTACCGAGCTGAAAAGGGAAAGAAAATTTGACACAGTAAGGTACTGTAAGAGAAGGCTGCAAACCAAACAGACATGCACAACACTACATGGACTGACTGTCCTTCCTCAGTGTGAGAGGAAATAGAAATTATGGCTATAATATAAATTTGCAGGTTATGAATTGTAATTCAAGCACAATAGTCAGGAATGAAACTCACAAATCACACTGGGTATGTTCAAAACAAGTCAAAATATCAACTAATGATTTTGCAAAAATTAGTAACTTCCTTAAGTTTCAGTTTCCTAAAATGAAAAGCACTGAGGGCTAAGGTTGCCTCTGTTCAGAAGAGTAAAGTCCCCAAGGCAGGTGATAGACAAGCTGTTGGATGAGTGCCAGTGATGAGTAATAGTGCTGGAACTGAAGACAAAGCGTCATTACTTAGACAGCAAGTAAGAGAATATTAATAGTTTAAAAAGGATATCTTAATATTCACTGGAACCACTGGTATGGTTCACTGGTATGGTATGAAACCACTCAGTAGGTAAAGGCAATTCTGCTCACCTGAGTTCAAATCCACACAACCTACACAGAAGAAAGAACCAATTCTGCTAGCTGTCCTCAAAGTTCGCACATGTATTGTGGCAAGTGAATACCCAAACATATTAAATAAATAAATGTTTAATAAAAACCAGAATTATTTCATACTCACAAATGCAAACAAATCACAATATGAACAATATTTTACATTTACAATTTCAATGAAAATTAACTGTGTTTATATATATAATCACATATACATTATCTGAATGTGTGATATCAGAAGTGTTTCAGATTTAGGAATATTTTTGCATACATTTTACTAGTTGAACATTCATAATCTCAAAGTCCCAAATCTAACCTAACTAAGTTTCGCTCTTTGGAGCACTTCAGACTCAAATTTTTCAAAACCTGCAATAACCATATTACCAAAGAATAAACAGGATCTGAACAAAAAATTTTTTAAAAATTCCAAACTAAACCAAACAACAAAAGCCAGGTACCCTATATGGACAGACAACAGTCCCATTATCATTCTGAGATACTTCTAGGGTCTGCCATAGAACAAAATACACATAAAGCAGTAAGTATACAAAGTCCCTCAAACACCACCCCAAGTTATCAGTGTAAGCAAAGTCAGAGTTTCAGGATATAAAATAAATCAATAAAATCAAGTGTTACCATATACCTATAGCCAATTATCTGAAATAAAAATAAAAGAAAGTAACAGCAGCTACAAGAAAATAAAACATCTAGACATAAATTTAGGCAAGGATGTTAATGTATCTATGAAAAAGAAACTGAAGACATACAAACAGAGGAAAAGGCATGGTAGGTCCGGGAAGAAGAATCAGTATCATTACAATATCCACACCAACCAAAAGATAGTTTCAGAGTTAATGCAAACTCTAAGTACCAATAAGATTTTTCGAAGATCTGGGAGGAAAAACAAAAGACAAAAACAAAAATCTAAAACAAATCTTGCCAGGCAGTTGTGGCGCACGCCTTTAATCCTGGCACTTGGGAGGCAGACGCAGGTGGATCTCTGTAAGTTAGAAGGCAACCTGGTCTACAAGAACTAGGTCCAGGAAAGGCTCCAAAATTACAGAAAAACCCTGCTTCAAAAAAAAAAAATCAAATAAATAAATAATAACAATTAAAAAAAAGGGGACTGGAGAGATGACTCAGAGGTTAAGAGCACTGACTGCTCTTCCAGAGGTCCTGAGTTCAATTCCCAGCAACCACATGGTGGCTCACAGCCATCTATAATGAGATCTAGTGCCCTCTTCTGGTATACAAGCATACATGGAAGGAATGTTGTATACATAAATAAATAAATCTTTAAAAAAAACAGACATTTATTAAAAAAAAAAAAGAATTAAAAAAAAATAAAACAAATCTTAACACTTTTATATTTTAACTTTTTGGCTTTTGACATGGGGTTTTTCTGTATAGCCTTTGATGTCCTGGAACTCACTCCGTAGACCAGATCTTTGTGTAGTCTTTGATGCCCTCATACTCAGACTCAGAGATTCACCTGCCTCTGCCTCCCGAAGGCTAGGATTAAAGGAGTGAGCCACCACCATCCTGCTGCAAATTTTAACACTTTATATGCAACTATGCAATAAAAAGGGGGGGGGATAGAAATCCCTGAATACTACAGTCATCTTGAGGAAAAAGAAAGCTATTATCTGACTTCAAAATATATTTCAAAACCATAGTTAATAAAAATGGAAAGGTAGTGAAATTAACACATACCAACAGGTCAACCAATAGACCAATGGAGTAGAATAAAAAACCTGGAAGTAATTAAATTCATGTTTTTACAGGCAAATATTTTTTTTTTTGCTTCTCCATTTTAGTTAATGAGTATGTATATGTATGCACATACGGGAAGGGGAAAGGGGAAAGCTTGAGAGATGGTTTTGATTACTGTACACTGGAAACTGATCTCTTGACGACTTATCTTAGTCTTTAACAAAGGAGCTATCATTTCAGCCCTTGTTTTTTTTTTGAGACTGGATCTTTGTATAGTCTTTGATGTCCTCATACTTAGGAACCTTTTGCCTCAACATCCCAAGTGCCCTGCTACAGATAACATATTTTTGACAGAGGTGCTAAGGATATACACTAGAGGAAGGACAATCTTTGTCAAGAAATGATGCAGAAATAATGTGGTATCAGGAGGAACAAAAATGAAACAGAGCTGGAGAAATGGTTCATAGGTTAAGAGCATTTGCTACTCTTCCAGAGGACCTGAGCACATGGTGTCTCACAACCATACAACTCCAGTTTCAGTGGGTATCAGGCAGCCAGTGATAAGCAGAATACATACAAGCAAAACCCCCATACAAACAAAAAAATTAAAATATATTTTAAAATTAATAATGAAAAAGACCCCCCTCTCCTTGTCCCCCCAGGGGCTAGAAAGATACATCAGGATAAGAGCACAAGCTGCTCTTCCAGAAGACCTGAGTTCAATTCCCAGCAACCACTAGGTGGCTCATAACTGCCCTCTTCTGGTGTGTGTAATCTTCTTTTGTTTGTTTTTGTTTCTGTATTTGAAGGTAGAATTTCTCAGTAGCTATGGAGCCTGTCCTTGAACTCACTCTGCAGACCAGGCTGGCCTCAAACTCACAGGGATTCGCCTGCCTCTGCCTCCTAAATACTGAAATTGAAGATGTGCGCCACCTTCAATCTGACACAAAGAGATCTTTAAAACAAAGCAAAACAAACCAACTCTAAAAGGATTAAAGCCTCAGCATAGAGCCAGCCACCCTGAACCTTACAGAAGAGAAAGTGGGAAATACACATGACTGATTTAGGAGCTCCTTCCACTCCTTCAGCCGGAATAGCTGCTGAGATAGCAGCCCATTGGAGCATGGTCTCTCTCTCTTTAAAAATGCTGCCACTGCCCTCCGCTCGCTCTGGCTTCCGGCTCCGCTTCCGGCGACTAGGCTCCCTTCCTGATTGCTTGGAGGGCTGTTGTCTAGGACGGTGATCTGTAAGTTTTTCCCGCTTAAATAAATAACCATTCTATTAATCATAATTCCAAAGTGGTGTGGGATTGTTTGTGACTTATGCCTTCACATGAATGCATTGGCACAGGAGACCACTTCCTAAATATAACCCCAGCAGCACAGACACTGAGAGAAACAATTAATAAATGGGACCTCCTGAAACTGAAAAGTTTCTGAAAAGCAAAGGACATGGATCTTGGTTTATTGATACAAATTTAAGGTCAATTCTGTTATATGTGTACTTCTGCTCTTGATTACGGTGTTGTGTTTGTGCAGTCATTTGAAAATGTAATGTATAATTAAGAAACATAGGTTAATAATCATCTATAATAGTCAAGTTGGTAGTCATGTTAGTTAGATTTTCTAGATAGACATATGTATTTTAGATGGATAGGTATTCTTCAAACCTTTCAAAGACTACAGAATATGGCATTTAAAATTTAGGACTTTTAATGACAATGAGACACATCAGCTCCAAGCAGCATCAATTACTTCAAAAGGAAGATGGGCACTGAAGAGACTCCTTATGGAGTTGATTAGCCATTTGGGCAAGAAACTGCTATTGCCTGTACTACTTGATGGCATGCTATGTGAAATGGACATGCAGGACCCACAGAGAGATGATTGCCTGAAGGTGAGAATGTTCTTCAGGGTTCCTGCTTCATGAAAGAGTCTGCTAGACATTCTGCAGGACACAGAAAAATGTGACTGATCAACTGCCAATATAGGAGGAACTGTCTTTGAAATTTCCTGCTTCATGGAAAAGATTACTGGATACTATGGACCTGTAGGGTGAAGATGGATGCCCCAACAGTAAAAAAGAAGAACTTTGGGTGACTGTCCAGGCAGTGGGCTGTCTCTGTCAATTCTAGAGTTTTGGAAGTTGCTTATAATACACTTCCTGTTTACTTAGGTAATATTATATTCTTTTAGAGTCTTTGATGGAGTTGAAGAATTTATAGTTTTCCTTAGTAATGATAAAAGATTAAGTAGATATAAATATTGTAACTGTAATTATTACTTGATATCTATTTTATTATATGTAAATTTACTATGTTGAAGATAAAGCCTTCCTTTTCATTTAAACAGAAAAGGGGAGGGGAGGTGATGTGGGATTCCTCTCTGTATGCTGTGAATATCATTGGTTAATAAAGGAACTGCTTTGGGCCTATAGAGGAACGGAGCTAGGCAGGAAAAACTAAACGGAATGCTGGGAGAAAGGAGTCAGAGTCAGAGAGAAGCCATGGAGTTGCTGGAGACTTTGCTGGTAGGCCAGGACCTCATGGTGATAGACAGATTAATGGAGATGAGTTAAATTAATATGTAAGAGTTAGCCAATAAGAAGCTAGAGCTAATGGGCCAAACAGTGGTTAAGTAATATAGTTTCTGTGTGATTATTCCGGGGCTAAGTAGCTGGGAACAAACTAGTGGCCTCCTTACTACACTAGTAAATAATTAAAATTTCATCTTCTTTAAGCAGCTCTTCCTTGGTAACTTATACTTTTTATTTGGTGGCTTACATCTGACAGCATGTCCAACTTATGCTCTGATGGCCGCATGTAACCAACAACACAGCTATGAGCACAATCTTAAACATTGTGAGACTTAAACAAACAACAGCAACTCAACTGTTCACGTCTCCAGCATGAACTTTGTAGTTTATCTCAGAGACTGTCACCTTATAGTGACCATCACCTTACATTGTCAAAAGGTTGGGCATATCTGATCCTTATTATTCTTTTTCTCTCCTCAGTTTTAGTTACTTAACATTTATCTATTTAATGGGGAGGGGCAGTGCTATGCTATGGTAGTCATGCACATGGAAGTCAGAGAACAATTTGTAGAAACAAGCTTAATCTTCTATCATGTAGGTCCTGGGAACTGAAATCAAATTATCAGGCTTGTTAGCAAGCACCTTTACTTGTAGAGCCATCTCGTCAGCCCTGTTCTCTCACTTTTAATAACACTTGATCTATTTCAATATAGTATACCACTTGGATTAAAAATATTCTATAAATCTTTTATTTACCTCACTTTACCTTTTTTCATATGAATGTTTTAAAATTTTAAAGAAAATTATAAACTATGGTAAGATGTAACTATATACTATGGAGACATACACTGAAATTAAAATAACTTCTAGACTATTAGGTTTTCTAAGAAATACACACACAGCCACATGCACGTATGCAAGCACTTCATCCCTAAAGTCTAAACTACCCCAAACCCTGTACCTTTCTAAGCTTCAACATTGTATACCTGAACTAAAGTGATGCGTTGCAGTAAAAAATGCAAGTGAAGATGGCTCTGTGGTTAAGAGCATGTACTGCTCTTCCAGAAGACCCAAAGTCAGGTCTCAGCACCCACATCAGGTTACTCACAACTGCTTGTAATTCCAGCTCCAAAGGATATGAGATCTGTGGCCTCTGCTGGTGCCTGCACTCATGTGCACATACACACACATATATAAATAAATAAAAATAAGAAAATTTACAAAAATAAAACTGAAATACTGTGCAAAACTCAACATTATCTGTACACTGTTACATGACAAATACAAATAATTCCCCTTTAGGCTTAGGTCCTACATCCAAATACCTAATTATATGCAAATATTCCAATTTTTAAAAAGCCGAAACTTAAAAACATTTCTGATCACAGACATAATGGAATAGAAACCCGTACTGACATCTTGTTAAAAATAATTCCTCTCTCTCTCCTCTCTCCTCTCTCCTCTCTCCTCTCTCCTCTCTCCTCTCTCCTCTCTCCTCTCTCCTCTCTCCTCTCTCTCTCTCTCTCTCTCTCTCTCTCTCTCTCTCGCTCTCGCTCTCGCTCTCGCTCTCGCTCTCTCAGGGTTTTTCTGTGTAGCCCTGCCTGCTTTGTAAACCAGGCTGGTCTCGAACTCTGAGATCTTCCAGCCTCTGTCTCCCAAGTGCTGGGGTTAAAGGTGTACACTACGACCACCATACTCATACCCCCCCACACATATAACTTTTTTTCCTTAGATTTTTAACTTAAGTTTTTGGTTAAATTGCAACTCATTTTGTATGTAGTTTAATGGTCTTCTAAAGGAATCTTTTAACAGTATTTGAACACAGATTTGTGACTAAGCCATCTTCTCCTGCTGTCATTAACAAATGACTCCTGAAAACCAGAGGGTACACCCCAAACGCAAGACCTGAATGTACCTGGTCCTTCATTCTTGCTTTTCTTGGTATGACAACTGTGTTTAACTCCGAATCTGCTGGGTTGCTTCTAGATTCCTGCTCTGTTCTGCAAATATTTGCATTTAGTGCAGCTTCTACTTTTCCCGTCGATGGCGCTGGGGAAGAACACGCGGAGTCTGCAGGCTGTGGAGATATGCTCTCTCTTCTGCTAGTCCTCTCATCATCATCGTCATCACTGGACAAAATGACTACAATCATAAAGAAAATCCAAAATTCACATTAAAGAAATTTTATATTTATATATTTATATTTATATTTCATTTTTGTCATTTACTTAACTGGAAACTGGTTTCAATATTGTATTACCCTTTGATTTCAATATTGATTTTTGTTGTAGAAATTTACTTGCAACTGTAAGAACAGGGACAATGTCTCGCTCACTGCTATATTCTAGGACCTAAAAAGGGGGGATGTGGGCATTAAAAATACTACATAATATCTTTAAAGTTTTCCAATGTTAAGGGTAAAAAGTTGGCTAAAGACACTCTGGTGAGACAGTTGCCTGTGAACTACTTACTCCGTTAATAAAGGGAGTGGGGTTTTCAAAAAGGCATGATGTATGAACTTACACAGCAGTAAGTTCATTGTAGCACCCCACATATACATGCGTAGTTAATACTGAGTAATGTACAATGCTCCAGATGGTCATCACTCCAGTAACATCCACTTACCCTTTGATTTTGCTATCTAGTTTCATAACAAATACTGGCCTTTTATTATTTAAGGTTGGATATTTGATTTAATTTCTCTCCCCTATGAAATCAGAGACAACAAGGGTATCTATTTCACAGGATTACTGCATAGATATATAAAATCCTATTATAGTGATTGGTACCTATAAACTTTTAAATTGTGTATGTACTTTCTTTAACATGGCTTTAAAATGCTTGCAAATTATCTTGCCTTGTGGTAAGAAAACTAATTTCCACTGAGTCCTTTTTATGTGTCAAATAAATTGAACTATGGTTACCTGTCATTTATATGCTATTTTATTTCTTCAAAATGCTAACAAAGGAGCTGGGGAAACAGTTTGGTTGGCAAACCCTTGCAAGCACCCAATACCTGAGTTTGATCCCAGAACCCTATGTAAGAAAGCTAAGCATGGTAATTTTTAGATTCAGCATTGGGAAAGAAGAGACAGGCTGACCCCTAAGGCTCACTGGCCAGTCAGGTTAGCCTATGCACCAAGTACATATCTATCTAGATAGTAGATACAGGCTATGTCAAAAAGATCAATAACTAGAATAAAGCAAAGACACTACTGTTTTTTTACTGACTATTTTAACATGAGGGGAATGGGAACAAAGTAAGTTACTACTCTCACAACTACATAGACAAGTTTGAATCACATGAGCCCCAAATGCTGAATATCTGCCACAAAAAGATACCTCTGGAAACTGTATTTCTCAAATACGCACATATTAAAACACAGACAATTAAAATATTGAATTGTTACTGAAGAATACAGTTAATACAGTGTGGTGGCACACACGTGGGCCCCAGAAGCATAGGAGCAAAGGTTGGCAACTCACTGAACTCAATGGAGCAGGCCCATGGGTTTCTGAGTCTCAGGAAGGGATAGAGGACAGGAAGACGGTACTTACTTGGATCATTCAGATCTGACAAGCTTGTCTTTCGTTCTTTCGGGTTTATGAATTTAGGTATTTTTCCTCCAGGTAGAATGACTTTTCCATTAGTCTGGATGTAATTATGTCTACTAGCATCACAAGTCACTAAAATATCTATTGGAATCTTCTCCACACTGTTACCATAAAACTTCTTGGCTGTTAATCCTGTGGTTTGTGACTTCTGTCCTCCAGAATTCTGATGAATTGACGTTCTTAGTAAAGGTCCAGTGGATTCATGCAAAGTTATAGCTTGTCTGCAATTTCTTTGCAAATCATTATGAAAAACAATACCACAACTTTGGCATTTGGTCTGATTTTCTTTTTCTTTTCCACATTTTGGGCAACATTCACGCTGTTCAGATACCTTATATTAAAAAAAGAAAAAAGAAAAGACTTTGGTATTTTAAGTTAGCATCAAAAAGCTCCTTTAAAAACTTTCCAAATGATGTTTTGTTTTTCCATCATCACTACCATGGCCTCCCTTAAGATTCTGAATGAGTCATGCTATTTGAGGGTTAGCAACAGAAGGCTAGAAAAAATTTCAGGGTCATTCTGTCTAACAGTTAGCTATGATAAGGTAATTTTCATCCTTAAGAATCAGAATGAAAAGAGCTAGGAGGCTGGGCGATGGTGGCGCACGCCTTTAATCCCAGCACTCGGGAGGCAGAGGCAGGCGGATCTCTGTGAGTTCGAGACCAGCCTGGTCTACAGAGCTAGTTCCAGGACAGGCTCCAAAGCCACAGAGAAACCCTGTCTCGAAAAACAAAACAAAACAAAAAAAAAAAAGCTAGGAAAGGAAAGGACACTGATTTGCATGCAATGGAGCCTAGGTTTGATTTTCAGTCCCACAAACAAAAAAGAAACACCCCAAGTGCTTGATTTCAATTTTACTTTCTACACTAAAGGTATATAAAACATACTTAGAAGAAAAGTACTTGGAAAGACAGCAGTTCCAGGTATTTTCTAGAAATATGATACTACAACATCGTAAGGAGATCCATACCTTTCATCAGCTAAGACACACACACACATCAAATTAACTGCAGCAATCAGAAACAAAACGCAATCAATGAACCGAATTAAACACTAAAGTTTTAATGATAGAAACTAGAGGTTAAGAATTCAGGGATTCAATGGTTAAGATAACAAACTTATATTCTCTTATAGAGAATCTGAGCTCAGTTCCCATGTGGCTCAAAATAAGACTATAAAGTCCAGCTCCATGAAGATCGGACACCTCTGGCTTCTGAGGGCACCTGTACCCACAAGTACATACACACAAACACATATGCAAAATTAAAAATATCAAAAATAAAAATAATTGCAAGCGGAGAATGGTGACATACACCTGTAAGCACAGCACTTGCAAGGCTGAGGAAGAGTGAAGTGAAGGGCAGTCTGAATTGCACAGTGAGACAACAGACAAGCATGTACATACACATGCACCACCAGCAAATGCAGCTGAGGATAAAGCTTACCCCTAGTTTGTATCTACTGCACCATGGAAACCCAAATCCAAATGAAACTATTAAAAATGAATTGCAAAATGAAACACTATCTAGTTTTCCTAAGGTATATATAACACTCCCTTTCTTCACTTCATTATTTCTGACTTTCTGAGAAAAGGTTTCACCGAGAAGCACCAGCTGCCTTGGAAGTCACTGTATAGATCACATTGATCTTGTACTTGGGGCAATCCTCCTGCCTCTCTCTGCCTGATGAGTGATGGGACTATAGACTTGTACAGCTTAAAGTTTTACTTGTTTACATAAAGTAAAAATTTTCATGATAATTCTTTATGAAAACAAAACTTGATTAAAACCTAATTTTGTTTCATTTAACTGGTCATTAAAAAACCTTGCAAAGTTAAATAAGTTCAAATTACAGAGTTAGTGGAGTAAATTGATACTAAGATTCTTTCAGCATGAAGTTTAATCCTCAAAACTCCAACAACAGTACAAATCTAATATTGCATACTATGTCCCAGACTCTATACATGAAAAAAAAAAAAACTTAATTAAAACAAGCCTGTCTCAAACAATGACATTCTTACTATGTATCCAAAACATGTTCAATTACATTAAATTCAAAGATCCTTCCCTTCCTTCCTCCTTCCTTCCTGTTTTCTTAAAAGCAAGCAGTGTTGAGTCTTACAGTCTTAAATGGAAAGATAAACCACTAATCTTGTTTGTTAATTAAAGATTACAAAAGACCGTGTCCAATTTTTCCACTCTCTAAGGGGAAATGGGATCAACTGGCACAAAAGTAGAGTCAAAAAGGTCTTTAGGTTTCATAAAGCAGTTCTGAAGCAGTTTAAACTCTGAGCTGGCAGCCAGGGGAGGAATGATATGGTGATGAGAAGGAGCATCCCCCTTCCCCCTTTCTCCTTTTAGGAGACACTAGCATGGTCTCAGCCAACTTTAGCTGGCAAGCAAGGAGACTGATCAATGAGAAAACTGAGTAAATACTTAAAATATTCAGTAGGGATGAGAGTTGGCCAAAATGACTGACAATCCTACAAAGGGCAAAAGATAAACAATGAAATAAACTGTGCTTTCGTATCCAGACACCCAGACCCAAATAATCACATGAAAACTACATTAATTAGAACACTGTTTGGTCAATGGCTCAGGTATATTCCTAGTTAGCTCTTACATCTTAAATTAATTTCTATTATTTTATATTTTACCACGAGGCTCATATTTGCTACCTCACAGCTTGCTTCTTGGGTGGCTACATTGTGTCTGCCTGATTCTGCCTTCCTTCTCCCTGCATTTAGTTTAGTTTATATTCTGCCGTGCCAAGGCCAAAGAAGCTTATTATCATCCAATGATAATGAAACATATTCATAGCATACAGAGAGGAATCCCACATCTTCTCCCCATTTCTGTCTAAATTAGAAGCAAAGTTTTAACTTTAACATAGTAAAATAACATATAACAAAATAGGTATCAAGCAAGAATTACAATTACAATATTTAATCTATTTATATCTGGCAAAATTAAAGAAAATATTCTATCATCTATTTTATCTTTGTGAGTCTAAAGTTCAACATCTAATTTATCTTTTATCATAACTAAGGAAATATTTGTCTTCAAGTCCATCAAAGACCCCAGAAAAATATAATATTACCTAAGTATTCAGGAAGTGCATTGTAAGCAAGTTCCAAAACTCTAGAACTGACTTTTCTATAACAAGTTCCATAAATTCCATAACAAGTTTCTTCTATGGCCATCAACCTCTTAAATAACTGGTACTGCCAGAAGCAGATGAGTCTCACTGTCAAGAAAAGTCTTAAATTCTTAAAAACTTTTAAATTCTGTAGGTCTTTGATGTATTGAAGATTATCTAACTGAAATATATCTCTGTATATCTAGAAAATCTAACTATCATGACTACAAGATTGACTATTATGAATGACTATTAATCTATAATTTTTAATCATACATTACATTTTAAATGAGCTGTATAAACATAATACCGTAAAGGAGTAGAAATATACATATAACAAAATTGACCTTAATTTTTATCAATAAACTGA